TTGAAGTGATCGTTCATCTCTTGCAGGTTTTATTCTGTCTTTTTGAGCTTCTTTTCTATGCTTTTGACAGTTTGGGTTAGTTCTGTGTTTTGGTCTTCGAGCTCTGAGATTCTTTCTTCGGCTTGGCTGATTCTGCTTTCCATGCTTATTAGTCTGTTGTTCATTTCCACCACAGTATTCTTTACTGCTGTCATTTCTGACATCAGCTCCTTCCTATTTTCCTCTTGTCTCTCCTCAATTTTTAAAATTCTCTCCATTAATATCTTGATGTCTGGGTTTGTTGCATGTAACCAGTCATTCTGGGAGCTCTTCATTGTTTATGTTCCATAATCTGTTTTCTCAGTGTCTGATCTCCCAGGGGTCTGTGTGAGATCTATATTTTTCTTTTGGTTTTTCTTCATTTGTACTTAAGGGGGGAGCTGTGATTCAAAATCTATCTTCAGGTCCTGGTGTTCAGTGACAGGTGTGTGAATAATCTGGAACCCACTTCCCACTGCCTTGGAATCTGTCTGTGCAGTGGGGCTGTAGGCTTACTCCCTGAAATAAAATTTAGTTAGCAGAGGGGAGAGAACGGAGGAGACAGTGGATTGAAGAAGGGGCTGGAAAGATAGAGGAGTAAGGGGGAAAACAAATGAGTTTGCCAACAAATAGAGAGAGAGGCCTATACTGAAACAGATAAAAACAATAGACCACAGCTACAGACGAACCAACTCTCATACAGACAAAAATAAAACATATAGTGATGCTAACATACCAGCTATCCAACCACCTTATTAGTGTGCTGTTCCTCTATACAAAGATATGGTTTACAGAGAGAAGAAAAGAGAAGAAAAGGAAGAGGAAAAAAGAAAAAAAGGAACAATACAGTAGTAATAGAATTAAGTCATTAAACTAACAGAATCAATGAAGCACACTCTGAGATATTTCGTTTAAGTCCAATGTCCTTTCTGGTCTGATTTCTAGTTTTCTTTTTAAGCTGGTAAATGAGTTTGCAGTTAGGGTCAGTTGCCCCTGGTCTGCTGTGAAGGACAGTGCAGATCACCCTCTGTTCACCACTCTGGCCTATGTCTTTATCAAGCTTGTTTCTCCCGTTTCGGTGTTGTTACCTTGAATCGCCAGCAGGTGGTGCTATCTCATCTGCTCGCCCCAGAGGAGGTGGGGCCGGACAGGGACGGCAGAGGCTGAGGATGGCAAGATGGCTGCCTGCCTCAGGCAGTATGGCTTCTATTTCTCTCTCTGCCTCAGGAAACTCAATTACTCTTAGGTTTGGTCTCTTGAAGTCATTCCTCTCTTGCAGGTTTTGTTCTGTCTTTTTGAGCTTCTTTTCTGTGCTTTTGACAGTTTGGGTTAGTTCTGGGTTTCGGTCTTCGAGCTCTGAGATTCTTCTGCTTGGCTGATTCTGCTTTCCATGCTTATTAGTCTGTTGTTCATTTCCATCACAGAATTCTTCACTGCTGTCATTTCTGACATGAGCTCCTTCCTATTTTCCTCTTGTCTCTCCTCGATTTTTAAATTCTCTCCATTAATGTCTTGATGTCTGGGTTTGCTGCAGGTGACCAGTCATTCTGGGGGCTCTTCACTCTTTGCGTTCCAGAATCTGTTTCCTAGTGTCTGATTTCCCAGGGGTCTGTGTGAGACCTATATTCTTCTTTTGGTTTTTCTTCATTTGTGTGTTTTTTTCCCCCTCCCTACTTTTTCCTTCCCTCCACGTCACCGTCTTTTTTAATTCTTTTATGCAGGGGTAGAGGGATTGGTTTTACTTCTGTTTGTTCAATCTCCTATTCTTTATGTATGCCCTCTTGCTTTGTTCAATTCTGGAGTTGCGCTGTAGGTTGGGGGTGGTCCTTTCTGCAGTTCTGAGACTTACTTAAGTGGGAGCTGTGATTCAAAATCTATCTGCAGGTCCTGGTATTCACTGGCAGGTGTGTGGATAATCTGAGACCCACTTCCCACTGTCTTGGAATCTGTCCATGAAGTTGGGCTGTAGGTTTACTCCCTGAAATAAAATGTGGTTAGCAGAGGGAAGAGAATGGAGAAGACAGTGGGTTGAAGAGGGGGGTGGAGAGATAGAGAAGTAAGGGGGGAAACAAACGAGTGTACCAACAAATGGAGAGAGAGACCTATACTGAAACAGATAAAAACAATAGACCACAGCTATAGACTAACCAACTGCCATACAAAAATAAATAAAACATACAATGATGATAACATACAAGCTAACCAACCACCTTATTGGTGTGCTGTTCCTCTATACAAAGATATAGTTTACAGAGAGAAGAAAAGAGAAGAAAACAAAGAGGGGGGAAAAAAAAGGAACAATACAGTAGGAATAGAATTTAGTCATTAGACTAACAGAACCAATCAAGCACACTCTGAGACTTTTTGTTTAAGCCCAATGTCCTTTCAGCTCTGATTTCTAGCTTTCTTTTCGAGCTGGTATTTAGTTCGCAGTGAGGGTCAGTTGCCCCTGGCCTGCTGTGAAGGACAGGTCAGATCACCCTCCATTCACCACTCTGGCCTGTGTCTGTTTTTTCAAGTTTGTTTCTCCCGTTTCGGTGTTGTTACCTCGAATCGCCAGCAGGTGGTGCTATCTCAGCTTCTCACCCCAGAGGGGGTGGGGATGGACAGGAATGGCAGAGGCTGGAGTTGAAAGCCTGCCTCAGGGCACACGTGAGGGGACCCAAGGCGGGCAGGACATCTCGGTCACAGAAGAGGTGGCAGCGATCCCAGCAGATCTTACCTGCAGGGGCTTCAAGGACTGAAGTCATGGATCGCCTCCAGCTTGAGTGGTGCGATGTGTTATGGCCACCACAGAGGCCGTGGTGGTGGCGGCGGCGGTGGCTGCTGTCTGCGCTGCAGTGGCTGTCCAGACTGCTGCGATGGCCCAGCGGTGGCAATGGTGGAGCTCCATGTGAAGAGCAGGCTGCGATGTTGGGGTCCACAACCCCTGGGGAGAGAGCCAGAGACCTACTGCAGTTCTTCTTTGCAGAGGTTTTCATAGACCAGGTTGCCCTGTCTCCATCTTGCTGGAAGTCCAATTTCATATTTTTAATTGCACAAGGGCTAAGGTTTTGTTCTAAAGTGGAGAAGCTGGGCAGATAAGTAACCTGTCCATGGTCATTCAGGTAGTCCCTTTCTGCTACTCCCTTTCTGGCATCTGGATGTTTCTGATCTCCTGAATGCTGCTCTTTCACAGGTGTGACAAATGAGAAAAATGCATCCTTTTTTACCTCCCCATTTACATTTTCTTTCTCTAGGTCTCTGATCTTAATAGGAAAAACATCATCAATATATTTATAACTTATTCAATACACTTTAATTCTTGTCTACTAAAAGTTCAAATGATATCATAATTAAAAATTAATTTCATGTATATCTGATATTGCAAACTACTATTTAAAAAATTTGGTTAATATATATTTAATAGATATTAAAATTGGGACTCATTGAAATTGAGTAATTTGCCTGAGATTTCACCCCTAGTAATGTTTTAATATATTACTCTATCATGGATGTTTGCCTGTAAATATTTGCGTTTGCAGCAGGGACTAAATTTTGCAAACATTACCCTGATAATTTTTGATTTCCTCTTTTTAATCTTGTTCCCCTGAAACCCCATCTCTCTGAAGCTTACTGCCCCAAGACAGGGAAGAATAGCTACTGGGTCTCTTGGGCATTCTCTCATTTATCACATCTCAGGCTGTTCTGGAGGGATAAAGTAAAATTTTCTTCAAAGTAAAGAGAAGATACTCCTGTTTATGATGACTAGACCATGAGACTCGTCATCCTTTGTTCAGTGGTGAACACGACGCAAAGTAATGGTTTCCATGGCAGGATAGTCCTGTAGTGTTGGACTGCATTTGAAAACACAAACTACTGAACACTTTTGACCTCAGTACCGGCCACTTGCTCTATCCATTCAGCCTGGTCTCAGAAAAACCCATAGCCTCCTCATACTTCCAAATGCTCTCTGGATAGGGTGCAGTGGGAAGTGGCACCATCTGCAGCTGTAGATGAGTCAGGGGAATGATGGAAGAGGAATGGTCCCTTACTGGTTCCTGGGAAATTGTGCAAGGAAAAAGCTTGAGGAAGGCAGGAAAGTTACTTGGTTAAGAATCCTGATTTCTACTTCGTATACTTTGGCCTGAAAAGGGCCAATTGTGTTAGGGGAATAAGGGTAATTCACAGGGCAGAGGTCCCCTTGTCCCCCTTTTTATCCTCCTTATTCCCCTTCTGATTTGGGACTCTGTAGGCTTTCCCGTACCATTTTGGAAGGTAGAGACAGCAAAGGCATTTAGGAGTGCAGTGTGGGTAGGCAAGGAAGGGTTAGAACCCCTGACACCTCAGTGCCTATGTGTTGTGGACAAAAGACTTCCAATGGTTCTCCAGAAGAAATGTAAAGACAACTGGGTCAAGGCCAGTGACCTCAAATGGGTGTGAATGGCAGAGGGGCAAGGTGAGCTTACAGCACACATTGTGTTGGGGACAACAGCCACAATATTGGATGCAAGATGCAGTGGAAAGGAAGGAGTTCTATGGAATGTGAAAGAACTGAAGTGAAAAGAGTCAGTAAAAGAGGACTGTTGGGTCTTGGCCACACTGAGAAAAAACAGCTGGCAAGGCATCACAGTAATACTAGCAGGGGTAGAGAAGCCACATGGACAGTGATAAGAAAGACAGGGAACTTTCAGATCAAGGACTTTGACCCTTTTTTCCACTGGAGGTAATGAAGACCACAACCTTCTAGATGCTATATTAGAGAGAAACTGAGGAGAGGTGGAAAAGAAGTCTTACAATTATTGGATTTCACCAACTTTATAACTGGATAGAGTTAAAATTATCACCCCCCCATGACTAGTTATTGGGAGGCTCTTGAAGAAAACCTGAGAAATAATTGAAAAATGAAGGGACTGTATTTACTGTACACATGTGGCTTATGATGCAAGATATGAGAGAGATTGAGATGCACTTTTGAGGAAGGGATTTTGAGTGAGACTTACGATTCTGTAGAGCCTGAGTCATTGACAGAAAGCAGGATGAGAAGTAGCACAAGATATAACTGAGGAAGTCTGTCATTCCCCATAGTGAAGGATACATCTCAGTGTTGAGCCTGAGTCATTGACAGAAAACAGGATGAGAAGTAGCACAAGATTTAACTGAGGAAGTCTGTCATTCCCCATAGTGAAGGATAAATCTCAGTGTTGTGCCCAGCTTCTCTATCCCTGAGACTAGCCAGGTTTACCAGGCTTTATGCAACTGCTATTTGCATACAACCTTTACACCAACGCCTCCGCCTCAGAGTAGAGTTCAGAGTTGAGCACAGATTCCCTAAAAGGGTCATTGCTCTCAGTGATTGCCTCATTATTCTCAAGGCTAAAATCTGACAGTCTTTGTGCTAAATTCTGATAGGTTGTGCTAAATTCTGACACGTTTTGAGGCATTTCTGCAGGGAAAAATTCACAGTTTACCTAGAATGAACTTTGACAACCATGCTTCTGTTGAGGGACCTTCAACCCACCTTTTCCCACCTTCTTCAGATTCCTTATAATCATATGACAAAGGAAGCAGTATTTGTAGTTCATGAGATTTACGATTTATCACTATGATTGTAGCTCATTCAATACAGATTCACTTCTGGGATTGAGTAAGGTATAAAGTTAGTGGGATTTTTTGACAAAAGATTGAGTATATGATCCTGGAAAAAATAATTCAAAATAGAGACTGGCAGTGGGGAAGAAAAAGATGTTAGAAAGGGTTTATCAAAGAACCCTTTGCTTGTCTCACAGGATTGATTGGATCAGACTCTAACTGCTCCTATCTGTTCTGCTATTGTCTGGACACTTTAAAATTTGAGTCCTTTAAATCATTTACTTTATTCACGAAATTTTTTTTGAGCCTTACTATGTGTTAAGTGCTACTCTGGTGATAGGAATACAATATTGAACAGGATATTCAGTGTCCGGGATCTCACAGAACTTGTAGTCAGGGATGATTACAGACAGAGACCAACAGCAGATATGACACTACCTGCAAGACTGTATACATTGTTGTTTTTTTGCATATTGGTCTGCTTCAAACTTTTTTTTTTTTTGAGTTGGAGTCTCACTCTGTCGCCCAGACTGGGGTGCAGTGGCCGCTCCTGGCCACTGCAGCCTCACCTGCTGGGCTCCGGCCATCCTTCCGCCTCAGCCTTCTGAGTTGCTGGCATTACAGGTGCGCGCTTACCACGCCCGGCTGATTTTTTTTTATTTATTGTAGAGATGAGGTCTCGCTGCCCAGGCGGGTCTCGAACCTGCGGGCTTAGGCAATCCACTCACATCAGCCTCCCAAAGGCGTGGGATTACAGGCTGAGCCACCGAGCCCGGCTTAAACTTTTTTTTAAAAAAAACTACTTTCTCTTTTTATATATTTTAGCCTATATATCTCTTCTCTGGAGAGCCTATCTCTTGTTAAAGCAGATGCCTTCCTGTCAGTATTTATTTTAGACCTTTGTTTACTTTATCACATTAACATAGAATAAAAGAATTCATTTAAAAATATGGAATATTTCATATATATATTCACAAATATAGAGAACAATATAGCAAACACTTTAATGTATCACTCAAAAGTGTCTATCAAGAACTTCTCTCTTCCACAATTAGGTGAGCCTTGGACTGTAGATTTGGCACCTTTATTTACTACATTCTTCAAAAAGTATTTCTAAATCTCTCAGTCTAATATTCTGAAGTTGTCAAATACCCTAAGGGAAAAGTGCCCTCAAACACGAGATCACCTCTGAATTGCTGTTACCCCTGAATCTTGGATTCATAATTCTTCATTCTTAACTTTTCTATACCACCAGTGAGTATATATAAGCAACCATTTCTAGTTTTTTAGTTGTTTCAAATGGGAAGTTTGACCTCATGACCATGTATGCCGTTACTGAGAAGGAAAGTTCTAAATTTGTATTTTTAACTCATATAAATAGTATTGTGACATAGACTTTGTTACTTACTCTTTTTAGTCACTGCTAGTTTGAAAAAATTATTTCATGTTTTTATACATATATTCTATTGAAGCATCTTATTATATACTACAGAACTCTTTGATGATTATTTACCACATTTAATATTTTTACTCTCCCAATGATAGAAATAAGATTGTATCCATTATTCTATTATCAAATACTGTTTTGCCAATCCCATCAAAAAGTAGGCAAAGGACATGAATAGACACTTCTCAAAAGAAGATATACAAGCAGCCAACAGGTATATGAAAAAATGCTCACTAACCATCAGAGAAATGCAAATCAAAATCACAATGAGATATCACCTAACTCCAGTAAGGATGACCCTCATCAATAAATCAAAAAACGATAGATGCAGGTGAGGATACAGAGAAAAGGGAACACTTCTACACCATTTGTGGGAATGCAGGATAGTTCGACCTCTATGGAAAGAACTAAAAATTGACCTTCTCTCTGATCCAGCAATATCTCTTCTTGCAATATACTCAGAGATGTTCTGGGTACATAAATTGTTCTACAAAAAAACCACCTACATATGTATGCTTATAGCTGCACTATTCATGACAGCAAAAACAGGGAACCAACCCCACTGCCAATCAAAAGTAGACTGGATACAGAAAATGTGATATCTATACACAATAGAGTATTACACAGTCATAAAGAAGAACAAAATCATGAACTCTGCAGCAAACTGGAAATCACATAATCATACTGGAAGTTGTACCATTATACTAAATGACTTATCACAGAAACAAAGAACTACATGTTCTCACTCATAAGTGAATCCTGAACACTAGTCACATTCGCACAAGGGAGGGAATGACAGTCACTGGGCACTTCCAGGGGAAGAAGGAGGGACACATAACAACACAAAGGATACCTGGTCCTAAACTAGGGAATTTGACGGCCAGTTGGAGGCCCAGACTTCACTTGCACACAGCCTACTTGTGTCGTTAACCCTTACTTGTACCCTACATCTCTATAATAAAAATTTTTAAAAATGCTGTTTTGCTAAATATATGTTTACATATTTCCTTCGAGGCTTAGGCGAAACCTCTTGCTGTACACATACACAGAGATGGAATTGTTGGATCAGAAGCATTTACTTAACTGACTAATCACTCCCAAATTGCACTCCAGAATGACTATATCATACTGTAACTACATTAGTAGTGCATGAGGGTTTTTATATCTCTATATTGCCACCCAAACTTGTTTTTCTCTAGTTGTTACATTTTTCTGCCAGTACTTCTTTAAACTTTTGGTCTACTTTTTTCCTCCTTCTTGGACTCCTATAATTCATATATTCATACAGTTGATGGTATCCTATAGATCTCTTGTACTTTCTTCACTATTTCTCATTCTTTTTTTCTTTTTGAAGCTCTGAATTATTTAGTGACCTGTCTTCAAGTTGTGAATATTTTGCATGACTGAGTTTGCTGTTGGAGCATTCTATTAAAATTTTAAGTTCTATCATTGTATTATTTAGTTCTAGGATTTTTATTTGGTTTTTTTAATGGCTCCTATTTCTTTATTAAGCTTCTCACTTTTGATGCATTGTTTTTCTAATTTTATTTGTCTGTGTTTCCATGCTTCTTGATGAGTTTCTTTAAAATGGTTATTTTGAATTCTTTTTCAGAAAATTTGTAGATTTCTATTTTTGAGGGATTAGTTATTAGAACTTTGTTAGTTTCCTTTAGTGCTGTTATGCTTACCTTATTCATCACTATCTGAATGAAGAGCAAACAACTCTTTCAGTTTTTACAAGGTTTTCATTCACATGTAAATGCCTGCTGGCTCCCTAGACTAATGGGATTTCTCCAGAATTGTGGTCAGCTGGAGTTAGAGCCAGAGTGGCAGGGCTGTTACCAGAGACTCTAGCAGGCTTGGATCCTATCTGCTCTCTGGGTAGATTGGATTGCTTCCAGGACCTTGGTCAGTAGGGCTGGCACTGTTATGAGGGTCCACTTCAGCAACCATAGATAGTGGGCTGGTTACCAGATGCATGGATGAATATGGCTTTCTCCAGGTCTTTAAGAAGGCCCTCATTAGGTCACTGGGTAGATCCCTAGGCAGGCAGTACTGGCTCCAGACTATAGCTGAGAGGGTGTAGGAACAAAGTAATAGAGCTGCCTCAGGCTACATTTGAGATTGAGGTCTGCAGGCTTGCTTGTAGGTTCATGGAGGGGCATGTCTCTTGACAGATCTCTGAGCAGGTAGGTCTGCTCTCAGAAATAGGTGAGAGGGGCTGGAACTGACTTATAGGGCTGTTTTAAGACCCACAGTGGGACCAAGGTCAGCAGACCTGACTGCAAGGGCCCTTGCAGGTTCATGTGAGAGAAGGAATTCTCTTAGACCGCAGCTTAGAGGGACTGGAGATAAATTTCAGGGCCCTTTCAGGATCCAACTGATAGAAGAGAAAATTGTCAATGATCTGTTCCAGTTTTTTTTTTTCTGTTAAATATTTTTTTTGTACTAAAATTATAACTAATATATATAGCTGGGGCCACAGCATAAATAATAGTAACAAGGTCACAACTGTATATGCAAGGAAATGGGATAAGTATTTTGCAAAGGAAAAAAAAATAATAATTTTGCCTTAAAATGTCAGGTTTTTTTTTCCTGGAATTCAAAATGGAACAGTGAAATAAAAAGTTAAATAAATGTAGACTAAGGAAAGGGAAGGGACAAATTTTCTTTCATTTATAATATTGACTCTGGAAAAAAATTTAAAATCTTTATATGTGGCTAATTTTTTAATTGAGATATAATTCTCATAAAATTAACCATATTATGTACTATTCAGTGGTTGTTAGTAGTCTCATGGTGTTATGCAATTATCACCACTACCTAATTATAGAACATTTTCTTTCTCTTTTTTTTTGAGTTGGAGTCTCACTCTGTCACCCAGACTGGAGTGCAGTAGCCGCTCCCGGCCACCGCGGCCTCGACCTGCTGGGCTCCGGCAATCCTTCCGCCTCAGCCTTCCAAGTAGCCGGAATTACAGGCGTGCGCTACCACGCCCAGCTGATTTTTTGATTTATTGTAGAGATGAGGTCTCGCTGCCCAGGTGGGTCTCGAACCCGTGGGCTCAGGCAATCCACTCACCTCAGCCTCCCAAAGGCGCGGGATTACAGGCTGAGTCACCGAACCCGGTTTATAGAACATCTTCATCATCCCTAAAAGACATTACAAGCCTGTTAGAGGTCACTTCCAATTTTCAATGAGTGGAAGTGAGTGTTTCTCTCATTTTCTGGGAATCACTAATCTACTTTCTATTCTTACAGATTTACCTATTCTGGATATTTTTTTATATACTTGGAATATAATATATGTGGCCCTTTGTGTGTAATTTCTTTTACATAGCATAGTGTTTTCAAAGTTCGTTCATGTTGTAGCATGTATTAGTACTTTATTTCCTTATACAAACGAAG